GCTTCAACATGTCTCAGCCTACTATTTCAAAAAAACTCAAACGCTCGGATTTATCAAGAAAACGTGTTGTGCATGTGCCAGAAGAACGAAATTCAACACGAATTATCAATGCACGCTATGCATTTGCAAGCGAAATTAACGGAATTTCAGATGAAAAACTTATTTATTTGGATGAAACTGGATTTAATGTGCACACTAACAGCACATATGGTTATTCGCTAAGAGGTGCGCCAGCAATTTTACAGTCGCCTGCAAATCGTGGCAAGAATGTTAGTTTAATTTGTGCTGTTTCAACAATAGGAGTGCTTGCTTATGAAACAAAAACTGGAGGCTGGAATGCAGATTCATTTTGTACTTTCATAACTACAATGATGGCACCAGCGATTAGGAATGCAAATGTGGAAGCGCCGGTGCTTGTTATGGACAATTGTAAATTCCACTGGAGTCTTTCTGTTAGGCAAACACTAGCCTCTCATGGTATAGCTATTAAGTATCTGCCAGCTTACACGCCACAGCTTAATCCAATAGAAGAATTTTTTTCTTCTTTAAAACATACTTACAAACAGGGAGAAAGGCCTCGAAATACGGATGAGGTAATCAGGAAACTTAAAAATATTATGGATACTACAGAGTTTAATATAGTTCCATTTTACAACCATATGCGTAGTTATATAAATCAAGCGCTGGCTCGGCAACCATTTCTTAAATAAATAACAATGAAAACAACCTAATTTATATTTTAAATATGTCTAGATAAAAATTTAAAAGCGTATTTATCGTTTATATTAAATTATATTAGAGATTTTATGGGTGGTTGACGCATATACAAACATAGGGATGTATAATTTGATATTAATAATAATTATAAACAAGTAAATTTAAATCGAGATAAATGAATAATTAGATAAATAATAACTTAATCAATCAAGAAATTTAATAATAAAATTACAAAGAACTAATACTAAATTAAATAAACCATCGTCGAATTTAAAAAGTCCTCGTTTTAAGTATTTTTAACCTCGTTTACCTAGAATTAAGAAAAGTTTGTTTTGAAAAAATAAACTATTTTTTCAAAACAAATTGCTTAAATGATTTTTTTTTGTTCAAATTGCTTTTTTACAATTGCTTTTGTAAAACGCATATAAGAATAAATAAAGGCGCATATAAAAATGAATAAATGCGCATATAAAAATGAATAAAGGCGCATATAAAAATGAATAAATGCGCATATAAGAATGAATAAAGGCGCATATAAAAATGAATAAATGCGCATATAAGAATGAATAAAGGCGCATATAAAAATGAATAGACGCGCATATAAGAATGAATAACCCTGTAAGTCAAATTTAAATGTCGCATATTTTTATCAGTGGTTTCACATTCCTAACAGAAAGATATTAAAATATAATACTACGTTTCCATAACGGTGAAACCATAAATACTTTAACTGGTATTTATGGTAAATAGTAATAGTTAATTTCACCGAATAAAAACCATTTAAGATACGCGTTATTCTTTTTGTTTTAGAAGGTTTTAAAAACGCAACAGAAACCAAGCGTAACTATTTTCTGAGTTGTGCCGGCTGGGAACTAACCAAGCAACGCCACTTTCTTTTTTAATAAAAGCAAAGACGTTCTCATAATTATCTTGTAACAAAATATGTTGGAAAGAATTAAAAACTTTATCAGTTTTAGATGCAAAATTAGCAACCAAATGGAATTTGCAGAAAAAATTGCTCATATTTTTCATAATACCTTAAACATCTGAAAAAAGTAAATCCCAATTATTGATTGCAACTGACAAAAGTTTATCTCTTAATGCTTTTAATTGTGAATTAAATAAAAGATTAATTGGAACGAGGTCAGTCGTTGTTAATTTAATTGGTGTTATTAATTTAGCGAAATTGAGTTCTTTTTTCCATGGCAGAGTTACTTAAAACGTTACAAATATCATCTATTATGTTAGTAAAGTTGAGCAAGCTAATTGCTTCATCACCAGCAATCACTTTTGACAAACCAAAAGATAGTGTTTTCCCTCTTTTTATTGTAATTTTAAAGTTTTGATAATGCCAACATTGTTGATACTATTCATATTTACATTCATTGAAAGCAATTTCATTATGGTTTTCCAAATGTCATCACAATATTTGCCATCTTCAGAAGATAATATTTCCTCATTATCTAACAAAGAAACCAACTTATGAAGTTCTTGATTCTCTTCTTTCTTAAAATTTGTCTTAATATATAATGCTGCAACTTCTTCTTTTTAACTTAAAAGATTTTTCATATTGTTTTCATTAATGTACTAGTGTTTATTTTGTAAATCAATTTTTAAATTACCTACTTTTTTTTGCAACTTTATTTTCTCTTACTTTAATTCAGAAATGTTTATATCAGAACTTTCAAAAGTTAAATACCAATTATTAATTTCCTAATTTAAACAATTTTTTTATAAAGCAAGCCAAGGAAATGTATAAATTTAAATTAATCTTTACATGAGACTTCAATTGACATCAATAAATTTAATGAACTAAAAGGTTATTTATTTATGATGAATAAGTAAATAATCTTATATTTATATATTAATAAGATAAATTAAATTCTATCAAAACGATACAATTACTAATTTTAAATAATATATACAATGTAATATATGAAACTTACAGTTAAGTTACAAAATAATAAAACTTAATGATAAATATTCAGATGATTTAATTAACAACTTTTTAAAACTATTTATTTACTAACTAATTAATAAATATATTTATTAACTCCACATTTGTATTTAAATATAAAACTAGAAATAAATTACTTCAGTAAATCTTGTTTTGAATGTTATTAAGAAAAATCAAAAAAAATTCAGCTAGATATATCAATCAAAATCATACGTAAACAGGGCGCTGAGAGCTGTCACGCCACCTGGGATAGCAATCCTGATTTGCCCTTATTTATCAAATTTTTCCAATATTATATATGAAGGACATTATTTTTTTTTTGCTTGATCAATAATGTTCAATAAAACAGTGAGTTGTAAAGTAGCAATTTTTTTAAGAGCCATATTAAGAGCCCTTACTTAAGAGCCATTTTTTGATAAAAACCAAGCAAAAGTATTGTTGGCTTAAAAGTGATATCCTTCAATCACGCTCAATTTTTTATATAGTATTGCTAATAGGGTTAAAACTTTTTTTCTAAATATTTGTAGTTTCTGAGTTATGATCGGTCAATCTTTTGACCTTTTAACACTTAGAAAGTTATTATTGGGATTTTGTGATTTTTAAACTAAATTTAAAGATAATGAAACTATATCCTAAGTATCTGTTTATATAAAGGAAGTATATGTAGAACTTTAAAAAAAAAAATCAAAAAAACTGAGGAAAACCCTTTATTAGTCTAAAAACCATAAGCTTAAATCACACATTTTTGAATTTGGGGCCTACTTTAATTACATTTATCTCAAAATAATACTAGCAGATCTAATTTGAGTGCAAAGCCATTTTTTATTGATGCTTAAGAACGACATTTAAAACGATATATCATCTGGATTTCTGAAATGTGATTTGGACTATTAGATGGATTATTTAGATGAAAATTATTAATTTGTTTGGCTTTCAAGTAAAAAATATGCCTTTTTTCAATGTTTTATACTTTTTTTTTTACTTTTTTTGGTGTTTAAGTTTTAAAGTTTGCATAAAGATTGAAAGTGTATATTTAAACAATGACATATTGATATAAAGAAAAATAACTTAGTGAGTAATTTCGCTGTGTTTATTTTTATTATGCAAAAAGTTTAACATTTTGTAGTGGAGTTATTTCAGCAATGCGATACTAACACACACGTTTTTTTTGAATTATTAGAATAGTATTATAGAGTAATAAAAAATATATACATTCAATCTTGAGACTTATCCCATTTTTCATAATGGCTGATTTTCGAACTCTACTTAAAACATTTTATGACAGTTTGATGACTCATAAGTATTTTCGTAAGCAATGTCCCCTCTATTTTTTAAACCATTAAGACCAGAAATGAATACCTTTTCTAAAAATAATAAGGTATCCGGCGAAATTTTTTATGCTTTGAGATAAATGTTTAAAGTAGGCCCCAAATTCAAAAAATGTGTGATTTCTGCTTGAGATTTTAAAAAATAAGTTTTTCCGCAATTTTTTTTCTTTTTTTTTTTAAGAAAGTTTTCCATCTTTCTTAATATAAACAGAAACTTTGGATACAGTCGTCTCATAACTCACAAACTACATATATTTAGAAAAAATAATTCATAAGGTTCTTTTTTACCCTATCAGCATTACTATATAAAAAATTGAGCGTGATTGAAGGATATTACTTTTGAGCCAACAGTACTTTGCCTGGTTTTTTTAGAAATTGGCTCTTGAAGCAATAAAAAAAGTTTTTTGAACATTTTTATTTTTTGTTATCATTAAATAATTATATAACAAATTTTTTGCTATTAATATTACTTATCGATGTAAGTTTATTGTCGTCCTAACTGTATTGGATTAAGAAAGAAAAAAAAAAAAGAATTTGATAAATTATGGGTGTGCGCGCGTGTGTGTGTGAACACATTGAGTGTTGCTTTAGTGTGAGTTTGATGCTTGAAAAAAAAAATTAGTTTAAAAAGTTTTAACACAAGTTTCTCCCTCATTTTAATTTTTTTTAAAAAAATTGTCTAGAAATCGTTCAAATCCATAATTAAATTGATTCAATAAATGGTTTATATATTTGCAATGACGGTTGAAGTTTTGAGCTATCGTAAATATTTTACGTAGTATGTTTAGAAAATTTAATTGTTATTAAGCTTTTCTATGGTTTAACAAAAAATTTAAAACTATCAAAAATTTATTTAATATATTACATGAACATTTCTCCAGGGACGGTGAGAACAATTTTTTTTTTACAAGCATATCTGGAGATAATTTAACTATGAAATATGTTTTTATATTTCATTTATTTTTATCTTAGTTATATCTAAAATTTGATTTTTTTAGACCATGAATCTAAACACGCGACATCATGAAAAGTGGTTAAAAAAGAGAAAACTCACTTTTATTGCGTTTTCAATTCAACTTATTATCATCGGAATGGAATACAGTCTTACAATTTTAACATTATGGTCATACATCAAAAAAATGATAACTACAGACACACCAAAACTATATTATGGAGTTGTATCTGTATCTTATATGGTGGCTTCTTCTGTACTGACGCCGGTAATCGGTAGATTCGTCGATAAAAAAAGAAACGTCAATCATTGTTTTTTAATTTGTAATATGCTAATGTTAAGTGGAAATGTACTCTACAGTTTACCATTTTCTCCTTTCTTTTTAGTGGGAGGAAGAGTGATAGCAGGTTTTGGCGGAGCGTTAGAATCCGTAATTTTTAGCGAAGCAATTCGTAGTTACCCAGCCTCTGAAACAAGTTCAAAACTATCAATTTTATCAATCATGTACAATTTAGGATTTATGCTAGGCCCAGGAATAAACATCTTTTTTAAAGACATTAGTTTTTTTATAGGAAACTGGCATATACGGGATGTAAATTTTCCTGGGCTTTTTATGGGTTTTGTATGCATCGCTATGGAAATTCTTACAATTACAATGGTATATGATGTATCAAAAGAATTTGACTACAAAGCTTTTGCGGAGAATACTGCAATAGCTGGTACAGACGACGAAGTTTATACTGATTGTGACATAAAAGACAATGAGAAACTACCTTTAGTACAATATAAATATCCTAACGAAATAAAGACAAAAACTTTATCCATAAATTCAAACAAATTTACAATAATCAAAATTTTAAAAGTTTTGTTTTTGCGTTTTGATTCAGCACTTGTAATGTTTTCTAACTTTTTCCTATCGTTTTTTATTATTAACACAGACACATGGCTGCCTTTGTTAGTTTTTGAAAAATTGCATCTTTCCATGATAGAATTAAACATCTGTTTTTTGGGGGCCAGCAGTTTCAGCGGTTTTAGTTTGTTACTGTTTATTTGGAGGCCGTTTTCTGACAAAAAAATGATTTTGGTATTATTAATCAGCTTAGGTGGATTCTGCACCGTCGGCACAAGTTTTATCATTCTTTCGAACTATTCTAACTTTAAAGTATTAAATCTTATCTTATGCCTTGTATATATATTTAGCTTTGGAGGAGCTCCAATAATAATTGATGTTTTTTTTGTAAGCACTTTAGCTAAAATGGTAAACTCAAGTAATCTTACATTTGTCGATAGTATTCGATACTCAATGTGCACCGCTGGAGCATTTCTAGCGTTTATTTGCTCCCCATTCACGTTTGATTACGTTGAAGTATTTGGAACCTTATATGCTGCTGTTATGATAACAATTGGAATCCTCTTCGTTGTCAGAAAAAATAACTTTATAAATGTTAAATTGCTGTTTTAATAAACAGTTGTTATGATAAGCTGTTTCTATGATAAGCTAGTGAAATGTAGCATTTTCAAATTACGTTGTATGAAATATGATAATATGTTGGTATAATTGTGTTTACAAAAACTGTATACATATACGTAAGCTACGTATACAGTTATATTTTTAAATGTGTTGAAAAACGCAATTGCAAGAAAGGATAAAGTTTTTATATTAGGTTTGTGGGACTTAGTGTAACGCCGTAAGTAAAAAGCATAAATATAATTTTTTCAGCCATGGGTGGATCTCTTACATACACCGCTTTTGCAATTTTAAGAATTTTTTTAATTTTTTTTTGTCTTGCAATACATGATATAAAGATTTAAGTTTTTGCTACAAATATTACAAATAATATTACATGTAAAATAAATAATAATACAAATATGGCAATATTAAAAGTATTATAATTATAATTACAAATATTTAATTTGATAAATTTAATACTTATTTTAATTTAAAAAAATTTTAAATAAACGCAAAAAAAAAAAAAAAAAAAAAAATAGTACATCCCGTTCCATTGCAACCAAAAATGTAAACACTAATTATAATGCAAAAAATAGAAAATAACAAAATTAAATGAACAAAAGTAACTAAATTTGATACTTATCAATGAAAATATTTTATGAAAAGCGTACAAAGATTGTTATTCCAAAATAATTTTATTTTTCATTCATAAAGTATCTGACAATATACAAGTGCTCATAGATCTAAATTTTATGAACTTTATCGATACATATCTACAAAATCTTTTTTTTAAATCCAGATTCACTTCTAACAAAGCTGACCACTAATAATTTGTGAAATACTAGAAAATAAAGAATAGAGTTAAAGAGCAAGGAAACGGTTGTAGGTTGTATGAGTCGGGAAAACATGAAGATGGAAGAGTGTTTCAAAGGGTTGAAGTGCAGGGAAAAAAACTAGACAAGTATAATAAAAAAATTTTAGAGCATGCAAAGACAGATACAGTAAAAGCATGAGATAACGATAAATAGATAAAGAATTGCTGAATATCGAGTCAAACGAGAATAAATTTCAGTTGATGGAACTAGAGATAATACCTCCTTAGAGCAGCAACCGCGATAGTATTTGTAGATGAGATAGAGATGCAATCTTACGATGATGGGAGGGAGGCTTAAGCTTGGCAGATAAAGCAGGTCCAACTACGTTTACAATGCGTTTTTGGACCTTTTATAAAAAAGTAAAAACATCATTAGAAGAACTACACTAAATATAACAACAGTATCCTATACGGGAAAAATATGAAAGTTGTAGAGGTAGAGAATGAAATTAGTAGTAAGAAAATGCACAACAAAAAAATGCTACCTTAACAGATGCTAAATTAGCAATCAATTGATTTTATGGTTTCCATGAGAGTTTAGTAGTGAAAGATAATCCAAGAAGACGTAAAAAAGAGGACTTAATGAGAGAGTTGCCATTCATTAATAAAAAAAATGTTGACAGCATTGCGATAGTTGTTTGCAGTAAACAACTTTTTAGAGTTAAAATTTACAAGCCACTGCACAGTGGGAACATTCCATTAAAATAGATGGCCAAAAATATAATCGTTGTATTTATGTGGATATTAGGCCTTAATTAAGTAAAATAGAGATTTAAGAAATTTTACTTTGTGTTTAACAAGCTCATAGGGCAGCAAGGAGGAGGAAGGGGGGAGATGCAGATGAGATTTGGGGGCACCAGTTAGATTTTTTATAAATGATATTTTCGGGCAATATCCAAATAGTTAGACAGTTTCCAAAATGCTCCAAACTTATTATGTTAATGCTAAAGTTAAAATACAAAGTTTTGCAAAAAAATTGTTGTGATTAAAGCCCGGCATCGCAAGTACCCCACAAAGAAAGCTTCCACCCCAAATATGAGGGCAATGAATTCAAAAAAATTTTTTTTTTGCTATCATATACTGAATTTAAATACATTTACAGGTTTTAACCTTTATTGAATAATCTTTTGTTCATTGAAAGCTAAAAGATCATGTAGAGTTTGAAAGCTATGATCATGTAGAGTTTGAAAGCTATGATCATGTAGAGTTTGAAAGCTATGATCATGTAGAGTTTGAAAGCTATGATCATATAGAGTTTGAAAGCTATGATCATGTAGAGTTTGAAAGCTATGATCATGTAGAGTTTGAAAGCTATGATCATGTAGAGTTTTGAAAGCTATGATCATGTAGAGTTTGAAAGCTATGATCATGTAGAGTTTGAAAGCTATTATCATGTAGAGTGTGAAAGTTATGATTATGTAGAGTTTACTACCCCTTCATTTTGGGGAGGATAAACATTTTGTACAGTTATCTTTCAAACATTAACAGATTATTAGTTGGAAATTAAAATCTGTCATTTTAATTCTCAACTAGTAATAAATAATAATAGAAAAATAATAAAAATAATAATAAAAAGAAATAACAACGAGTGAATAAATATTTGGGGTATTCCTGTTTCCATACTTCAATGATTTGAGCCGAATCACTGCAATTTTAAAAGAATTTTTTTATATTTTTTCATATATTTAATAATTTTATATAGTAGAAAAAAGAATATAAAGTTATACATTATACAGGTAATACAGTTTAGAACTTTGTTCTTCTGCATCTATATCTAATTCTAGATTTTTGTTGTCAACATTTAATTAGAGGATCAAAAGTATACCTATAATGAAAATGTCAAATAAGTTTGTTTCTCTTTTTTTTTTAGCTTGCATGGTGTTCGCGATTAAACTTATAAATTCTGTGTCGAGATTCAACTGCTTCTTCTTCCATTAAACCAAGTGGTACTGGTGAATTAATAAAAATTTCCCTAATTCGTCAGAATAAATTTCCGGTATTACTAGTTCCTGATCCGCCATCTCTTGGGTCTTCTTGTGGCACCTATATAACAATAACAATAAAAATAAATAAAAAAATAAAAGAAGTGTCTATGATACAAATTTTTTTTTCTAAAGTATGATGTAAAGTTTGTAAAAATTGTTCAATAAGATGAAAATTTGCATGGTGCTTCTTTATGAGTATTTTCATATTCACTTTTTGAAAGTTTGTTATCCAAAAAGTATGCAAAGGTTTCTTCATTAAGTAGTTAAACTAATTTAAATTCGCGTTTATTAAATGCGGTTCTTTGTGCCACAGTATTTTTGCGACGGATTCTGTTTTTGAATCAAATGATAAATTTGCTATCAATCGTATTTTGGTACGAGAACTTGATTCATCAAACTCTTTTGTTATTGAGGTCTTTTAGATGATTTATTTATTAAACCCTTTTGATTAACTTTTGATAAACTATTTGTTTTAAAAATTAAATTATGCTAAAGCTGATTTCTTCTATCAAATATTTCTTTTTTTTCGATGTGATGCATGTTACAGTGCAACATACTTTACAGGAGTTAGCTTTAATCTCTATCCTAATAAATTTGTTTGTCTTCTTTGACTTGAATTTTAGTAATAACGCATTTAAACCCCCTATTTACATTATCAAAAGTATTTTTCGAAACCTGAAAACATTGCGCAACTTGTCTTATATTGATTTTTTCCAATACCTTCGTTCTCAACAATATATTTACAAAGTAAAAATAAGTAATACATATTATAACAATAATATTGGCAGAGGGGTAAAGATAAAATGTTATTAAAATAATCTAATGTATATATTAAAAAAGTTAGATTGTGAGAATGGTTATATAAGTTTATTATTTTGGCTTACTTTTCGAATGATTTAAGTTTAAAGAGAACTTAACTCATTGATATACAAAGCACGGCTTCCCAAGCAATGCGTTATTATGTTGTCTCAGTCCTGCTAATAAACCTGAAGTCGTAAATTTGGGCTCGATATGCGGCCTTGCGAAAGGAGTACCAAAAGTATTAATGGGAAACACCTATGCGCAACATGGTACAGTTAATAATCTAACATTTTATACCTTTTGATTGAACCATCCTCTCTAAGATCTACCAAAGAGTTCGACAAATTTTACCGCCACCTAGCCTCATAACCAAAGTAACATTGGTTTACATCTTCGCCGATCTAATAGATAAAGAAAGGGATCAAGGCTGGTTACCACAATTATTCTGCTTATAAGACAGTAGCTGAATGCAGTTAACATCTACTCAAGTAAAGTATTTTTATTGAGACACAATCTCTAACCTTTATTCAACCAAATGCCCCGATGCAGGGATTTTAAAGTTGGAGTTTGTTTCTCCTAATCTTTGCCTTAAAAAAGCGAACCCTACAAGAAAACAGGGCATGGGGCAAATAGTACTGGGTTATATAATACCAGTAGAAGGGTGATAGTGATTATCTTTAAGTGATTATCCTGGAGTCTGCAATAACAATAAATTGATCAATGCTTGAGCTCCTTAAGGTTAAACCCACTATTAAAAGTCTAAAAAAAATTTTTTTTTCTTCTGTTTTTTACAAACAGTAACAACGGAAAAAAAGGTTATAAGTTTGCCCTGATTTTGTTCTTTAAAAATGGGTAAACATTTTTAAAGAACAAAATGGCCCGTTTTACCCAAATTAAAACTTGGGTGAAACGGGCCATTTTTTAGGGGTTTATACAAAATTGTAAATTTTAGAGCAATAAATTAAAATATCAACTTTAATTTACACTAAACATCTATATAAAATCAACATTAATCATAATTTGTTGGACATGCTGAAACATAAAGTTGGGCTTGACCTATCACAATTAAACTTTTTTTTTCAAAGCAATACACTGAAATTTTATATGACACTCAGAAGTAGATTTAAACCCTGTCAAGCCCTCTAAGTTACGGGGTAAAAAAATAATTACAAATATTGGTATTATGACGCCTACTTCACACATAATATTAGACTGTCGATCATTGTTTTCTTTGTTAGAAATTATGCTTTCAAACAATTCTACAGTAAAAATTATGCGGTTACAAAAATTACTTTACAAAACTTTCTAATGTGAGTTATCTTTTGCAGGGAAGAAGAAAATTAGATAAGTTACCTGGTTCTTTGCTATTAAAAATAGAAAAATTCTTAAGTTTTAGATATAATTTACAGCATCTTCAGTAGATGGCATTTTTTGC